CCTTCCCGTGCGGCCGCACCAATAGTTATTCAAATATGCATGTGACAACCCAAAATTTAATTTTATAAATCCGATTTTAAGAAATTCCAAAATAGACATTTTCACTCCTTTATTTTTTATTTTTTAAATAAATTGGTGTTTGAATAAATTATTTTGAGTTAAATTTTAAATTAATTCAACACCAAAACTTATTTTAAATCCAAAATCTTAAATTTTCGGGTATTTCGCGTACCAAGTTTTAAATTGAGAAACCAATCTGAATGAGACCGGGAGAATTCTGAGAAGCCTTAAACAAGTGTTCATCTAGAAAACTTTTTGGGAAAATTCCTTTTCAACCCCAAAGTCTTTTAAATAGCAATTCTAGCCCTTGGTCCATGGAGCATGGTGGACCACTAGACATCCAAACTCTCCCTGATTCATCCCTAAGCCAATGGAAATTACACTTTTGCCATCAACCTAGGGTTTTGTGCTCCTATAAATAGAACCCTTATCAGACAATTGCCTCTTTGATTCCACTCCTTGCTTCCCATATCTCAGCTTTGCAAATTCAAGAGACAACACAGTAAGCTTCTTCATCCTTCTCCATTCAATCCTAGCCTTCCATTTCTCTTAAGCTTTCTTCCTTCTATGAGAACTTGATAGTAAGTTGATGTGTGGTTTGTTTGAGATGTTTAGGAGGTGAAGGAGGGTGTAGCTAGCTTGGAAAGAGGGGGAATCCAAGCAAGAAGAAGAAGTCTACAAAGGTATAACCCCATGGACTCCCACTTCATTGTTTGGCTCTGTGAAGCCTAGATTCTTGAATAGAAATGGTAGATTTTTGTTGTGTTTGAGCTAGGAAGTGATCTATTACTTGTCTTTGATGTGTTGATAATGTTTTGGATGTGTTAGACTTGCTTGAAAGTGATTTGCAGATGAAATGAATCATCTGGTGCACACACAGTGTGCACCAGATGAATGTAACAGCCCTTAGCCACGGCCCATCAAGGGGGCCGCTGGCTAGAGCCGTGACCAGCAGGGCCTAGGGCACGGCCCTAGGAGAGGGCCATTGCCTAGGGCCGGCGTTGTGACGACTTGAGAGGGGCGGGCCATGAGGAGCCCCACCCCTTGGTCCCTGAGAGTTGTCTGTGTAGTGGCCGGGCCCTTGTGGCTCAGCTATGTGTCGTTTTGGGTCAGGTGTCACCGGCCCTTGTGGCTCGGTACCTCGGGGCCATCTCGACGCACGTTTTGGCTTTGATTTCGTTGAATTTGGATTAGAAATGAGCATGTTATGATAGATTTATTGATGATTTTGCTTCACAGTGTGTATGTTGAAGTTCACTGTAATGAGATTTGCTTTGCTTTGTTGCCCTGATGTTATTCACTTGATGAATAGAAAAGCATGTTCACTTTGAGAATAAGATTTATTAGAAAAGCATGACTAAAACATGTTATTTGATCAATGGGATTTAGAGTCTATTTTTATGGTAGAAATATGAAGAGTTTGATATGTTTCAATACAAGCATGTTGGTGTATTCTTGAAAGTTCACTGTGATATTTAAATTGAAGCATGTTGTATAGAATTTTTGCATTTCAAGTATAGCATGTTTTAAAAGTGCATAAATGGCCAACGTGAGCCTAAGTATTACTTTCAAAATTCATGAGCATGTGGTATATCATTATTTTGATGCATTGAGAAGTTGTTGAGATATGACATGCATGAGATTGGTGCATGAGTGATATATTTATATATTATCTATATCGGTGAGGTTTTGGAGGACCCCGTTTAGACTATGTCCTCTCGGATGATTATTATGGATATTGCGGTCCCAGTATATGTAACGCGGTGTATTCCCACGTTACGAGGTTGGAAACTGCCCGCCAGGCTTGGAATCCTGGTCAGGGGGTGTGCACGCTAATAGTTGGATACCTGATTCCACAGAGTTTGAGCATAGAACCAAGAGAGTGGTTCCGTGGATGAGCAGAGTATTAGGTCGGCTAGACGCCGTGCCCGGATAGGTTCATTCACACTATGGTGAAGTTCCTACCTCGTCCATTTATAAAGAAGCGAGTCATTGCGACTTAAAGAAAAGAGGGAAAGAAAGCAAGTCTTCATGACTCAAAGAGACCTCCACAGAAAGTATTCTATTTTACAAACGAGTGTATGAGTATATTTATAGTATTGCACGAGATTGCATTTGAGTATAGTATTGCACGGGATTGCATTTGAGTAGAGTATTGCATGATATTGCATAATGAGAATGATGAATCAAGTTTGTTTATCAAGCATGATTGCTTTAGTTACATTTTGAAGTCTTGTATATCCAGTTTGCTTGATGAGAATTTGAAAGCATGAAGATAGTCCTCGTATTGTTTAATAGTATGAAGTTGCTTGTAAGCATGAGTTATGATGAGTTTGTTGTGATATTTATGTGTTGGATTAGTTATGTTGTTGTGTCATTTGTTTTGAAGCATGCCTGTTGATATTATAGGTTGCAAGCATATAGAAAATCTGTGATGTAACTATAGTTGCCTTTGTGGTGAGTTTGTGATTTTGAATGTGAACAAATGTCATTCCAAAGTATATTCTATAGTATTTTACAGGGTTGAATGTGGTTATACTTAGTTTCGTGCTAACGAGTTTTTTCCTACTTGTCTATGTGTTGTTTGTAAAACCATTTTCAGGTGGGCCCAGCGCTGAGAAGTGATCGAGTTAGACTAGTCTAGTAGTCCTAGTAGTCTAAACTCTCAATACTTTTATTATGATACTAGTCTTTTTTATGCGCGATGCGCAAAAACATATATGCCCAATATTTATATTTTAAAAAATAACTAACAAATTTTTACTTATTAAAATCAAAGTGAAATAAAATTATTTATTATATTAATCTAATATATAATGAATATATAATGTTTTACAAATATTTTGTTATAATTAAATAATATAAGAAGAGATATGGTAGATGCATGTGCATGGTAAGTAACGGAAAAGATAACGGAAGTTATAACGGTAAGGGTATTTTTGTCCAAAAAATTGTATAGTACAACTCTAGAAGCACAATGTACAAAATAGTTAGCATTAAAAATATGGACATAAATGAGGGATATAACTTTTATTGAGACTTATTATGTTTTTAGATTATTTGTCAGATTTATAGACTTATGTTGTTTGATGATGTAAACATCGGGTGTGGTTTTCCCCCTTATGACTTTCGATTAAGTTTTATGGATGTTAGTTATTTTATCTTTATTTCTAGTTTCATCATTAGCCTGTGCAATCACCACGCAGTGGTGGTTGTGGCGGTGACATTCTTACTAGTTTACTTATTAAGTTGTTTATCCGCTGCTTAGTTTATGTTAATTATGGTTTAGAATTGTAATTAATATTTAGAAAAGTGGGGTGTTACAATGCACCAACAATGTTAGGAAAGGCACAACAATGAAATGCACAAATACACCAAAAAATGCACAAGACACCCAAAAAAATACACCATAACTCCCTACCCCCTAATTGTGCATTTTCGGACACTGTGTGGTGCTTTTATTCATACCTAATGGTGCATTTTTGGTGATGTGTACCTAATTTGTGCATATTTTTTATTGTGCATTTCCTAACATTGTTGGTGCATACCAAAAGCTTTAGGCTGACACACCTTAAGTACACAACTCACGCACCTTAAATACACAAACAACGTACCTTAAGAACACGAACCACACACCTAAGGCTTTTAAATGGCGCACCTTATGTTTCAACAACTCACGCACATTAAGAAGGAAAACAACGCACCTTAAGCTTCAAGTTGACGCACCTTAAGTTTCAACAATTATTCACCTTAAGCACACAAATCACGGACCTTAAGTACAAAAACTACACACCTTGAGCACAAAAACCACGCACCTCAAGTTTCAACATCTATTCACCTTAAGCACACAACCAACGCACCTTAAGCACAAAAAAAAAAAAAAAATCACGCACCTTAAGCACAAAATTACGCACCTTAAGAGGGAAAACCACGCACTTTAAATTTGACCTAGATGGAAAAATTACCAAATTGTCACCGTATTTTTAAAAAAAAATTGGTAATCCTGGACGTTGATTTAAGCAATATCAATAACTCAGATTTAATTGCACAACCACACGGGAACTGGATTATATATATATATATATATATATATATATATATATATATATGGGCGGAGCCAGAAATTCGGTTGAGGGGGGCGAAGAAGTAGGGAAGAATTCAGAATTTTTTTTAGTAAAGAAGAAACATTAAAACAAAAGAGATAATTTAAAAAAAAAAAACACATCTCATTATTAATATAAACGAATGTTATATATATGTGTGTGTATTAAATATTAAACAGCTATTAAAAACGTGACTGTGTTGAAACCATAGGGAATGAGTAAAAAAAAACTGTTGAAGCCAACTATAAAAAAATATGTCAATGCCAAGATTCAAACTCCTATCCTTTATCATAAAAGACACATGCCCAACCAACTCATCTAAATCAACTTTTATTAACATTTAATAGTTTTATTTTACTAATACTAATACATATACTATATATACATATATACATACAAAAATTATATATGGAATGAGGGTGGAGTGAGGGGGGGCAACTGACCCCCTGCACCTGGCCCCCCTTTGGCTCCGTGTATATATATATATATATATATATATATATATATATATATATATATATATATATATATATATATATATTCTTTTTCCATTCTATTTCTTAACAAATTTCTTTTTTTTTTTGAATACTATAACAATTTTTTTTTTTTTTAAAAGAAGTTATTTGTTAAGAAATGGAATGGATTTTTTTGAACAATTAACTTTTCTATTCGCTCAAAATTTATTATTTCAACCAAGCATGCGTGCTGTAAATCTAATAACCAAACGCCGCAAGAATAACGGGAGTATTTACTTGTGCATCATGTAAAATATAACAATAACATGATTAGCAATATAATTATTAATCAAGCCTAATAATTATTGTGCTCCGTACTATATGGAGCCTGCGACTGTAACATTAGATTCAAATAATTAACTTATTGTATTTTCAGAGAAAAAAAAAAAACACGCCAAAAAGATAAAAAGAGAAAGGAATCTTATTTTCGTCCTGTACCATGATTTGTCGAACGAAGAACTGTCAGTCTGTCGCGTCCCTTCACTGTCATTTCCATTTTTCCAATGCCCTTTTCGGTCTTTTCACTTCTCCATCACCGCTATATGATCCATCCACCATGCTCAGAGCGCAGCATTACACATTCACACTACTCTCAAACACGAGAATTCGGTTTTTTTTTTTTTTTGTTAAATTCATTTTCTTGAAGAAATATTTCGTCGGAAAATGGGTTTTCCGGTCGGGTATACGGATCTTTTTCTGCCGGAGCTGCTGGTGCAGGTGCTCATGGTTATGGATTTCGTGAGAAATTTGATTGCCATGTTTTTCGGCATTCTGGGTCTGGACAATTTCTTGGAACCGGAAATGTCGTCGTCGTCGTCGTACCCGACACCGGAGGAATCCAAGTCGGAGCTCCAATCCTTGTCCGCCACCCTTATCCGGGAGCTCTTGCCGGTGGTGAAGTTCTCGGAGGTGGCGGACCGGGCAGAGAGCTGCACGGTGTGCTTGTTGGAGTTCGACGGCAACGATGAGATCCGACGGCTGCGGAATTGCCGGCACATATTCCACCGGAGCTGCCTGGACCGCTGGATGGACCACGATCAGAAGACGTGCCCGCTGTGCCGGACGCCGTTCATACCGGGGGATATGCAGGAGCGGTTCAACGAGAGACTGTGGTTGGCTTCCGGCGTTTCGGATTTTTACGGCGAGAACTCGCAGATTGTCGCCGGTCTTTAGTGGCCGCAACTGTTTTTCGTCTCGTTTAATTTATTTTTATTTTAAGTTATATGTAGAATGTATCTAGGAAGTATATATTATTACCTGGAAAAGGAATGAAAAGAACAGTGAAAAGGAAAAAGGATAATTTGTACTTTTATATTCCATTTTAAAGAGAGGGGATCATATGTCGCTTTTCATTCATGTTTATACGTTAAGGGCATGTTCGGTTTACATAATGGATCAAGAATGAAATAGCTTTGTCCAAAATATACTAATTTTAATCTTCATAATAATGTTCATGCCTTATTTCCCTTCTAAGAAACGGTTAAGAGTAGTTATTTCAATGGGGTATGGTATTAGCATATTCCAAAGTTCTTAACCCAATAAAGTAGTTCAAGTGACAAATGAACTCTCGAAAGAATTTAGAGATAATTCAGATTCAATTCTCACAAGTAATTATTTTCTTTGGGTCATTCCTTGTGCCTCTCCCTCGGGATTTATACCAAAAAAAAAAAAAAAAATATTTCAAAGTTCTTAAGAATAGCTTCTTTCTTTTTTTTTTTTTTTTTAGTTAATACTTAATTCGCCAATTTAGACCTAGATTGATTTTTTTTTTTTTAATTTTGTCTTAAATCACTTTTTGTACTTAATTAGGTCATTGACTTCGATGGTTTTACCCAATTGAGTCATATGTTAAGATAACTTGGTAATTTCAACTTTATTAATACCCAATTTAGTCTTTAACTATAATAGTTTTACCCAAACTTGTCCTTGAGTATAGTGATTTTACCCAATTCAGTCCTTGACTATAGTGATTTTTCTCAATTTTGTCATTGATTATAACAACAGATAACTTAATTAGGTAAAACTATCAGAGTCGATGACCTAATTAAGCACAAAAAAATCCAAGTCAAATTTAAGGTGCGTGAGATTTGTGCTTAAGGTGCGTGCGTTTTGTGCTTAATGTGCGTGAGTATGTGCTTAAGGTGCGTGCGTTTTGTGCTTAATTTGAGTAGTTGTTAAAACTTAAAGTGCGTGAGTTTTGTGCTTAAGGTGCGTAGGTTTTGTGCTTAATGTGCGTGAGTTTGTGCTCAAGGTGCGTGTGTTTTGTGCTTAATGTGAGCAATTGGTAAAACTTAAAGTGCATGGGTTTTGTGCTTAAGGTGCGTGAGATTTGTGCTTAATGTGCGTGGGTTTTGTGCTTAATGTGCGTGAGTTTGTGTCACATTTTAAAATCTTAAGTGCGTGGGTTTTGTGTTTAATGTGCTTTGTTCTGTGCTTAAGGTGCGTGGTTTATGTACTTAATATGAGTGATTTGTGTTCTTAAGGTGCTTTGTTTGTGTGCTTAAGGTATGTGGTGATTTGTGTACTTAAGGTGCACCATGTTAATACTTAAGGTGCGTCCAACCGCACGGGATGCATCATACGCACCTAAACCCTTCCGTATATATACATATACATATATATATATATATATATATATATATATATATATATATATATATATATATATATATATATAATCCAGTTCCCGTGCGGTGGGGTGTCTCCCATGCGGTTAAATTTGAGCTATTGATCTTCTCTGAGGATTAACAATGATTAAAAAACGCAGTGGCAATTTGGTCATTTTGCATCTAGACCAAATTTAAGTTGCCTGTTTTTCTTCTTATGGTGCATGGTTTTCCTTCTTAAAATGCGTGGTTTTTGGGCTTATGGTGCATGATTTTTGTACTGTGTGGGCTTAAGGTGCATCAATTGTTGAATAATTAAGTGCGTCGATCTAAAGCTTTAGGTGCGTGATTTTCCTTCTTAAGGTGCGTGATTTGTGTGCTTAAGGTGTCTCACTTGTTGAAACTTAAGGTGCGCTGGCCTAAAGCTTTAGGTGCGTTATTTTTCTTCTTAAGGTGCGTTGTTTTCCTTCTTAAGATGCGTGATTGTATGCTTAAGGTGTAACACCCCCAAATTTCATACTTACGAGCCTAGTATAAATCATACATTTAAGGGTAGAAATCATGACATAATGCTGGATTAATATCATTAAATCCATACTCTAAACATCAAGGAGAATGTTACCACCACAACCACCCACACTAGGATGACTACAAGGCTAAACATACTAGAGTCAAAGCTCAACATTCACAAAATAAGGGTTCAGTGACCCGGTGTCCAAGCACCAACACAAATACAAAACCATAAATATCCAAAAGAATTGTCATCGGTAAGTAGGGCAACAAAGACTACATATTAGGAACTAGGGATAAATGATACTATCTATCTAGCTCCTGAAAAGGGTTTATCAAGAAAACAAGGAAAAATAACCCATTAGCATATACTACTAAGTATAAACCACTCAATCCCGTAACATAGATATAGATATAAGTTTGAAAAATAGTTTGTTTGTCATCATCATTCAGCATATAACACATTGGATCATAGAAAGGTAAATCAAGTAAACAACGGAATATAGATAATGTTAAGTCCACATATATACCTATATATAAGTCTATATATAATATGCATATAGACACAACTCCCACTCATGCTTATACACTTATCAAATACTCGCTAAGTAAACATATATGCATAGATACAATTAATGATAATGAGTAAGTATGAGTAGTTAAATTGAAAAGCATAACTCAAGAGATAAACATATAATACTAACTCAATATTGGCATGATGAGAAATTCTGTGGGATTAAAATAGTCACCACACTTCATTTGTATTCATATGATGAGATTTCAAAGAATCATAATAAGAGGTTTCTCAAATAGATATGTAAATCATTTATACCAATACTTTCACCCTCAAGAAAATAGAATATAATAATAATACTAGAGGTAGGAACTTCACCAAGTGTGAAAGAACCTATCCAGGCTTAGCAACTCTCTACTGGCCTAATCTCATCCCTCCCACTAATCTCATATTTGGAAGCATGTCTGTTACCTTTAGTGTGCGCACCCCCTAACTGGGATTCCAAGCCTAGCGAGTAGTATCCAACCTAGTAGCCCAAGATTTTTCTACCAAGCTAGTTCAATCTCATATTTGTCCAGGATTTTTCTATCGGACTTTCTCATCTTCATTAATTTCTACCAAAGGGATCATAGTCCAATCGGGTCCTCAAAAAATATAGGTTTTCCTCACATATAAAAGATAGCAGTGACATAATGTTTGAAAACCTTTATTTTTCAAAATGTGGATCATATATATCATATATACTTTTCAAAGAGAATATGTGAGTAAATATATATATATATATATATATATATATATATATATATATATATATATATATATATATATATATATTAAAAGAGTTTTAAGGCATTAGTATTTTTGTACTAATATATTTGTCTTGGTTATTGATTAGTATTTTATTTTATTTTAAGTATTGAATTGATCCGTCAATATATTTGTACGACTTGATAATAAAATTGTAGTTCGCACTAGTACTTGTAGTCTTTGTAGGATACGGCACTCGTTACTCACTCTTATATACTCAAAAGGATAAATGCACTTGCCTAATCAAATTTGTATAATTGCAAATTGGGTATCAATCACCAAGCAGTCTAGTTTTAGTGGTCACCTAAAAAGCCATTGAATCAACAACAGTGGAGACGACACCAAGTTATTGTCCCAAATGTCGTCTGACACATTATCTAGATTTACCTCTTGTTGGTTTGTATATTGATTTGACCTATTGGGAAAAATCAGGAGAAATGTCGAGTAGAACTACGTTGATGTAGGCTGGAAAAGGAATAAAGAACGAAAGAACAAGAAAATCTGTGTCATGTACGAGACACTACCTTAAAAGCGATTTTCGGAGACTGTGCGGTCTTTAAAGCCCAGTACGCTTTCAACGGTAACACGGACCTATTGCAATTAACCGGCACAATTAATACGCAAGTAGAACCTGACTCACTATGCTCAGACGACAGAAGAGAGGAATAAGAGAATGATTTGAGGTGTGTTTTGAGAGCACATAGGAGACAGGTATATATAGTGTCCAATATAATATACGAATCGAAACCGAAGCAGGCAGGCGGCAGCGACACGTGGGTTCCCCCTTTCTTTCCCTCCATAATATTTCAAAACCTCTAAAAGAGTTGGTATTTAAAAGGAAGGAAAAGTTCTCATTGGAAAACAATGTGGAACAAGAGTTACAAGGAAACTACACCTGTTTTGAATGTTTCATCCAACATCCCCCCACACATTAAAAACAAAACAGGGTGCATAAATGAATGATGTCTAAGCAAAACACAAGAGCTGGCCTTAATGCTAGTGTTAAACTTGAACTGACACGTAGTGACTTGAGTAACTTTCTTCTCAAGAGTGAATTGTATCTTGAACTCATTGAGAAGTGTGTAGTTTTGAACTCAGGTGCACATATCAGCCTTTAATATGCAAGTTCTGCGGAGGTCAAACTCTTTGACCTTGAGGTCTACCTCTGTGTAGATCACTTATTTAAGAAAATCTCATGTTCAGTTTCATATGGGTAAGTCTTTTCATTACTGTGTTTTGACCACAATTGTGGTATCCATCATGAATTCCTTACCTCACAGATTTTAAACCCATCTCCCTTGATGCATCAAGGATGGCCTTTCTGTTTAGACCTTTTGTGAGATGATCTGCAATATTCCTCTCAGACTTCACATATTCTAATGTGAGTACCCCATTCACAATCAACAGTCGTACAGACTCATGTCTAACTCTTATATGTCTTCTCTTTCCATTATAGAGACTATTTTTTGCCACATAGATAGCAGTTTGTGAATCACAATGTATGGGCACAAATGGTGTTTTACACCCCCACAATGGCACGTCTGCCAGTAGGTTTCTCAGCCACTCCGCTTCTTGCCCAGCAAGATCAAGAGCTATGAGTTCTGCCTCCATTATCGATCTAGCTATACATGATTGCTTGGTGGATTTCCACGATATTGCTACTCTGAACATAGTGAATATGTACCCACTTGTGGAGCTGACATAATCACTGTCATTGACCTAGTTTGCATCGCAGTACCCTTCTAGGATTGCAGGAAATCCAACATAGTGAAGCCCCCAGTCAATCGTGCCTCTTAGGTAGCGCAACACTCATCTTAGTGCATGTTAGTGAGCTTCACTTGGGTTATGTGTGTATCAACTGAGTCTATCCACTGCAAGAGTAATATCAGGTCTGGTATAGTTCATTAAGAAC